GTATGTTTTAGCTAAGAGTATTTTAAAGCATCATGTGTGAGTCTTCTTAGTTTAACATCTCCTTTTTAATGCTTGAGAAGTGAAATGATATTATCTTCAGTGATTTGAAGACCTCAATATTTTATGTAAAACCAGGAATACTTGGGATCTCCTAATTAAGTGTCCGTGTCCATTCAAGCCCACAAGGAAATAGAGCACTATGTCTGTTTTATGAAGTCAAACCTTACATCCACAAGGCACCTGGGAAATTACTGACTGGGCATCTCTAACCCTGGAGTGTGGGGCAGTGAGGGCTATGAGTGGAGAGGGTCTGAGACTCTATTGAGTGAGAACAGCTAGGCTTTCATCTGTTGTCCTCATTGACTTCTGAGAAAGTGTTCCTTTAAACATAGGTTGAAGCTGCTCTTTTAAGAATTGTGTGTCTATTTTAAATCCTTCACTTATAGACAGGAATTCAGGAAGGAAGTGGAATTCCATGAGGTTAAGTGGTTTGGCTGAGATCGCACACTTTGGCAATGACAGAATCAGGACTGAAATCCAACTTTGCTATCTCCACAGTCCTCTGAGACTCTGATATTTGTGTCAGCTGGAACAATATCCTAATGATTCAATTGTGTCCTTTTCCTTCTCACTTCCTGGCTCTGAGAAATATATTCATCCAAGTTAATTAGACAATCAGAGGGAGGTTTCTACGTCAGGAAAGGAATGTGTTTGCCACTGTTACATGTTCCCCAGGATCCCAGCTTAGTTGATATTGATGATTGTGAATTCATAAAGTATCTTCTTTCCAACTCATTTTATGGCCATCTCATGAATTTGGTTCATAATTTTAATTATGCAGTTATAAGGTTTTTTTCTCCTATTCTCTGAGTATATCTTTTTACTCATTATGGATGTCTAACATTGGCTCTGTTATATTGGACCTAGTGAGGACTTGTTCTGTTTCATTTTCTTTCCCTGTACTCCTTTTTTGTTTTCTCATTACTATTGTTTGGTGCCAGCATATCTGATATCTGGTCTGAGGGACAAGGAGACTTGGCAGAGAGAAGTTAGGAAGTAAATCTGGAGAGTGACCCGAAGGTCCTTGTTGTCTTGAAAGGAGAAAAAGTGGAGGAGGGCTCACACTTATCAGGGAATGAAACAGGACAGGCATCAGGACAAAACCTGAGAGGGGGACCCTGGTGGCCAGGGGTTGAGAGCACATGAGGAGGGTTGCACAGGGATGTGATAGAAAGAGGTCAGACCTCATCCACTTTCTTGGATATTCTGCTCAGAGGAAAGCGGAGAGGGACTAGAGGAAGACACAAACTCTTAACTTCACTGTTTTGAGTTTAGGGGCCAGTTAGAATTACATATAAAAGCAATGTAATGATAGATTTTAGAAACTAATGGGGCCTTCCAGGTCTTCTTGCCCAACAATTTTATTTTGCAAATAAGGAAACTAAGGCTAAAAGAAGTCAAAGCAAGCCCCTTGGTGCAGTTCTGGATGGAGCTATGGGATGACAGTCCTGTATTTCTTATCCGTATTTACTCAGTTGCAAGAGAGAGAAAGCCCAAGGCAAGAAGCTGAGTTTTATTCTAAATGCATTTGAAAGTCATGGAAAGGGAATGATATGCTCTGATACACATTTAAGAAGACAACCTCTGCCGTGTGGAGAATGAATGGGAATAGGATTAGATTGGAAATTGAGAGAGCGGTTAGGAGGCTATTTCAGCATTCCAGGAATGAAATGATTGTGACTGGGAGAGGGAAGATGAGGAGAAGCAGATGTATTTTGAAGTTAAAATGTACAAGGCTTGATGGATTGCATGTGGTAGGTAAAAATACAGGAAGAATCAACGTTTTATGGCTTGAGCAACTAGGTAGATATAGATGGAGAAGTGGAGAGGGACTAATGTGATTGAAGGTTAGGAGGATTGCTCTCATTTATCCTTATCTTCACTGTTGAAACTGTGTGTCTACATCGCTGGACCATGATGTGTTTCCCCAAGTACTGCTAAGAACCATAGGGCAGATTTTTTGTTTGGTTGGTTTTGTTTTTGTTTTTGTCACCAGGATCCTTAATTATATAAGGTACCATGATAAATTCTTACCAGTCATCTGCTTTGGAAGGATAAGCTAAGGCGATAAGGTAGGGAAATGCTGTTTCTACTTTTGTTTGTTCATTTTTTTATCTACATAGAGATAGAATTAGAAACCCTTAGCATTCCTATAACCTGATAGGAGAGCCATGAGCATCTTTTGGAGGAGAAAAGGGGAAAGCACTTTTTCGCAGATATGCCTGAAAAGACATGAGAAGGTAGGGCATCCCTTTACAGTATGCTGTTGACATAAACTCATTCCATAAACAGTTTTTGAAATCCTTCTAAATGCCAGGTCTGTTTAAGGCCCTGGGACTATAACAAGGAAGAAAAGAAAGCCCTTCCTTTGTGGAAGTCACATTCCAGAACACTGCTTGTCAGTGCCTTCTTCTAAATATTTCAGTGGTTTGTTGCCCATTTCAGCAGCATATAGTCTAACCCTCTGCGTAAATCAGAGCCACCACTTGCTATCTCCCAAACCATGTGCTTTCTCACCTTGCATTTGCTGTTTCTCTCACCTGTCTGCTTCTCTGTCCCTCTTAAACCAGCCATTCTGACCCATGTGGGACAGATCTGATACTCAGTGCCATATAGGTAGGCTGGCCATCATCCAATTCTAATTGGTTGATGCCTGTGCTGAACCAGTTATTCATATTTCACTATTATTCCAACAATCACCCTTCCAGATTTTGCTCAGTCTCCCTTAAACACTTTTCTTAGGTCACTTTCTTTAGCCTTCAGTGGTCTCATCTTCATTTCAACTCATGGCGCTCATGTATTTATATCACTTATTTACAAAGCTCATGTACTTTCATATGGCATCTGACATACAGTTGTTTGGATTTTATTTAAAATTTTGACTTCTGTGTTTGCCTTTTCTCCCAAAATGGATGAAGTAGCCCCTGGAAAACCCAGGTACTAGATGTGCACTTATTAATTAAATTTGATCTATGTATCAGGAGGTACTCAACATTTCATAACTGTCTGCTGGGGATGTAAAGTGGAGAGGGACCCTATCTGCTGATATTCTGTGCCACTTATCTTTAAGCAATTCCATCCTCCAGGGTTTCGTCTACCCCCAGCTCCTGTCTCAGTTATCCTCCATCACCTCAGGTTTGCGGGGGCATTACCACGCCAGCACCCCTTAGGATGCTTGGCTAGTTTTGTGCATTAAGAGGACTGTGGGACAGCTTGCTTGCCAGCCAGTTTAATGTAGGCTGACACTCCTGGCATACTGAATTAAGGTGGAGGAGCCAACCGCCCCAGAGAAGAGTCCATTGCTATGGAGATTAAAACAAGAAAATGACAGAGCACAAAACACCTTTATTTTCTTCTTATATTTAAATGAAAAGGAGACAGTAATTAAGCCAGATCAGAAGATGAGTTTTGATTGTTAATTGCTAAGGGAGGTGCAGTACTTTAATTTGTCCCAGTTCATTTGTACAATCAGGCAGATAAGGTACATGGTCTGTACTCTTGCTCATGGTATAATGTTGACAATTTGAGAATTAATCATTTCTGGATGTTCCAGATTTGTTATTTTAAAACTAACTGCAATATTTCCCTCCTCTGGGTAGAAGCTGAGAAAAAGTGTTGTAGCCTTTTACCTAAGATCATGCAGCCATTGAGTCATGACTTCTGTAGGGCCATGATGGCATGTGCGTTTACTCAGATAATGTCCAAATTGTTTAACAGGTCTTAATACTTCACCACGGTTTGATGCTATAGTCAGTTAACTAAAAATTATACCTAGAGTTTTAGAACAAGAGGGTCTGTGGGACTCTGTAAAGCATTTAATATTCCTATTTCTAATTATAAAGCCATGTGAGCACACAGTGATATGCATTGGTATAACTGACTTCCTGGCTGTAGGGGCAACATTTGAAGCATTTGGGGTGATCCTTTGGAAGAAGGACTCAGTTTAGTCAACACAGTAATCACCCTTTTACTGAGCACCTCCACAGTGTGATGCACTGAGCTGGGAATCAGGAAATTCAAGGCAAAAGGCAGGGGTTCACTTCTCCAGCTGAACATTTGAATCTTTTGGGAAACTTAAAAAAAAGAACAACAACGCAGATGCCTAGGCCCCACTCTAGACCTTGATTTTATTTTTAACCATCTCCCACCCAGGCAACTCTAATAGACATCCAGGTTTGAGGAGCCACTGATATAAAGTACAGTTTGGTTTTCAAGGCACTTAGAATTTAATTGAGAATATAGGACTTCTATTTATATCTATCACTTTTTTTTTTTAAGCTCCCTATGCAGAAGCATATAGTAAGTTTCAAGTAAGAGGTATGGACATCATAACTACTGTGTTTACAAGAACAGGCCTCTAGAGGCCAGGGTGATCATGGAAGAGGTAGGATTTGAGACTATGCTTAAGGATGTGTAGGACATAAGAAAACAAAGATGTGAGAACAGGGCATTCTGAGTAGAAAACTAACATCAACCTAAGCTCAAGTGTGTTGGCTCAAGGCAAGGATATGTAAGGTATGTGCCAGGTATTAACTGGATATTAGTGGGAAAATAGTGAAAATTCAGAGGGGCCTGTATAGGGACTTGGGCCAAAAATCTGGATTTGAGTTCTTTACATGCCATGAAATATATGCTTACTTTGACAAGTTGTTTCACATCTTTGAACTCCAGTTTCCACATCTGCCAAAAGTGGGATAAGTTCCCATCGGGTTGTTTGGAACCAGTAAGGTGATATGTATACAAGCACTTGGTAAACCACAGAACCGCCCCCCCAATGCTAGCTTTTGTTGTCTTTTGGAGGGTCAGGCATTGGAGATTTTAGAGCAGAGGAGTGATGTATTAAAACGTTAATCATTCATCCTATTTTTTTCATGAGTGGGTGAAAGGAGCTAAAAACAAGTATTTACTATCAGTGCATTATTTAATGTGATTTTGTTTAGGGACTGAAGCCCAACTCTCAAAAAAGATCACCCTAGCTGCCCATCATGGCTGCTGGAGAAGCTACGCCTGATAAAGCAGAAGGTTAGTATTGCTCTTCCCTAATGACTCAGTGCACAATGCATGGTACTCCAACAGTTTTGAGAAACTTCTAAATTAATCTCTGGAGCATTAAAGTTATTGGTGTGCCTTGTAAGAATTCACCTCATTCTCTTTATTTAAATATACCCAACCTTTGAGAAATCTTTAGCAACTTTTAATTTAGTGTGTGCTATCCAATATGGTATCTACTAGCCATATAAGGCTATTCATTGCTTGAAATGTGACCAGTGAAAGTAAGGACTAAATATTTAATTTTAATTCATTTTAATTTAGATTTAATTAATTTTAATTTCATTGTAATTTAATTCATTAAAATATTTAATCCAGTTATTAGAAAACTTTTAACCATGTTTAGAGCAACTTGGGTATGTGAATATACTTTTGCAAGTAGATATTTTAGAATACCTGAATAGCTTATTTTTTGATTAAAGGCTAGCATCTGAATTGAGAGGTGTGTTAGTGTAAAATATGTACAGGATTTTTGAAGACAACAAAAAAGAATGTAAATATCATTAATTTTTAATATCAACTGATGGTAAAATGATAATATTTGGGATATATATTACTTAAATAAAATCTATAACAATTAGTTATGTATGTTATTTAAATTAATTTCCTCTTTTCGATTTTAGAAATGTGACTACTAGAAAATTTTAAATTATATTTGGCTCACATTGTATTTCTTAAAAAAATTTTTTAAATGATTAGTTATTTTTGGGAAAGAGAGAGAGAAAGAGCATGAATGGGGGAAGGGCAGAGAGAGAAGAAGACATGGAATCTGAAGCAGGCTCCAGGCTCCGAGCTGTCAGAAATGGCAGCACAAACCATGAGATCGAACCCACAAACCATGAGATCATGACCTGAGCCCAAGCTGGACACTTAACTGACTAAGGCCACCCAGGCACCCGTCACATTGTATTTCTTTTAGAGCTAATTTAGACTTGGAAACTCTGTAGGAAATCTTAAATTTCCTTTAGGCTTAGGTAGCCAGATTGAGAAACAGAGTTCTGCATAGAGGCTGAGATCATGAAGATTTCCTGTTAGGCTACCTCTCTTTGGCTCTTGTGACCTCAGGCAATATATGATAGAGACCAGCCAGCTTCTATTCTGAGCTACAAATAGAGCACTATGTGGATTACCTTAACTCTGTCTGGATAATACAGCACATTTTTAAGATGGATAGGGCAGAAGGGAAGAAGATTCATAAAGTAGAGGAAGAATATTCTCTAGTTCCATTTTGCCTTAGGGTCATGCCCATAATTAGTTAAATTATATTTGAAGTCTTCATACTGAGAGTTGGAAATTCCCCTGTATCTTCTTCACAACCTAATCCCACTCTGGGAAAGATTAACATAGAGAGATTGTTTTGGAAGGAAGGTACTGTAAAATCTCCCTCAGGTAGGTAGGAAATTTTAATCAGTTTATTGTTGCAAAGATGATAAACCACTTGGCTAAAGAAGGAATAAAGAAAGTGAGGGAATGAGGAAAAGTGTGTAAGAGACAACTCAACAGAATTCTGATTCATTGGAACTGAACAGTTGGGTCTTAGTACAGAATGTGCTGTGGAGAAAATTGTTGAATATGGGTTTGAGGAGATGATAGCCATATGCCACTTGGAATTTGAGTGTCACTTGGTTTTTAGGGGGTACCTGGGTAGCCCAGTTGGTTGAGTATCCAATTTTTGATTTCAGCTCAGGTCATGATTTCACAATTTGTGAGACTGACCCCTGCATTGGGCTCTGTGCTGCTCCTCCTCTGCTTTTGCTCTCTCTCACACTCTCTAAAAATAAATAAACTTTAAAAAAATAAATTATTTTGAAAAGAAATTAGACAAATTATATTTTCTTCACTTACATGTAATTAAATTGAATATAAACTATTTTCTTTGAGGTTTCTCTTCAAAGAGCTTCCCTTCACTTTCTGTTTCCATAACTCTTTGCCCTGGAATGAATTCAACCATCTTAGTTTCAGCTTCCCTCTCCTGCACCTTGTCTCTAAGCTTCTCCCTTCTCCTGACTTAACCCTGCCTGTCTTCTGAACCTGCTTTTAGAAGGAGATCTTTCAGCACACACAGTAGTATTCAAACCTTTGTTTATTTGTTTTTTACTTCTTTGCTGTCTGTGTATTTTTAGCCAAGGGATATTTCATACAAAATGAAAACTTAGGAAGAGCTCAAATATGTAAAAGAGATAAGGCCTGAGCTGCTGTGATTGAAAGAAGGAAAGGCCCTGAAGGCACATGAAATTGATAAAGTACAGTTTTGAAACCACTGTCTTAGTCTGGATTTGATTCACTGTTTTATTTCTCTTGGGATATTTCTGTTTTAAACCTTATCTCTAATAATACAATGCAAAGTCTCATATCTTTAAAGGGAAATTCGTACATTAACAAGCTGGCAGTAGGGGGTGTTGGTGACTTATGTTGGCCTCCATCCTTTCAATATATGTGTCATACTAAATGTCATGGCACTTACTTACAATTTTTTTTTCCTGGCATTAGGCTCTAAGTACCTGGAAGGCAGAGGTACCTAATGTCCTATTTATTTTGACACATTTAGCACCAAATCAGCACTAAATTTAGCACATTTAGCATCTGGGACTTAGTAGGTGCTTAATGAACATATGCTGAACTAAATCTCATTGAGTCTGAAGTATAGCTTTTCTAACACCTGTGAAATCAAACACATAGGCACTTACTTTGACTATATAGGCAAAGAAGACCTTAGCCATATAGCCATACATCTTTGTTCAGGATATCTCCTTAGTAAGTTTTTGTGGTGTCTCTGAAGAATGCAGCCTGTTTGTAGAAAGAATAAAAGCTCTCTTAGTAAGGCCAGTTATTTTTTTATGACCCAGATATTTTATTGTTATTCCACAAGACAAGTGAAAAATTTCTACCAAATGCATTATGAAAAAATGTTCATAGCAGTGTTATTTGCAGTTGCTCCAAACTTGGAATAGCCCAAATGTCCACCGACAGAAGAATGGGTAAACAGTTTGTATTAGTATTGTGTTGCTGCTACAACAAAAATTACCAAACACATTTTTGCTAGTTCCTTGGACTTTCTAGGGCCAGAAAAGATTTTTGCAATGATACAATCAAGAGATGGCCAATGGTTTGTTCCCTGTCATAAATTCCATAATTAGATCTTCTTTTGATGTCTTCACTTCAGAGATTTACTTGAGCAGTTATACAGAACCTCTAAAGCATTAAAAGAAATCGAAGTTTAAGAATTATCAATCATAATAGCATTAACCTGATGATATATGAAGAGCAGATTTTTAAAAATGTATATGTAAAATAAATGTAAGAAAATATTTTAGGCTAGTGAAATCTTTTAGCCTTAGAAATTCATTATCTTTCCCCATAGAAATGTTAATATTTATATTCATGTTTTATGTAAGTAGTATAAGTATTTCAATCTCTTCATGAACTTTATCATGAAATATTGGTTACTTCTTATAATGATTTTTTTATTGCTTTTGGGGGTTTAATAACTTGAGGAATCCAAAATATAAAGAAATAGTATTATTTGCAAACCTATTAATTAATTAGTTTTGGGTAAAAAGAACTATAATAAGATCAGACTTATTCAAACTAATTTAGAAAGTTGAAATTTATCTTTGTGCCGCTGAAGAAATGAGAACTGACTAATGGAATTAATTATATAAACATGGTTGGAGAAAAGTTTAGCTCAATGATAGTAATATACCACAGTAACTACAGTAATAATTGCTCACATTGATTGAAAGCTTATTATGTGCCAGGCTCTGTGCTAAGTGCTTTGTAACCAAGTGCAATTAAATCCTCAAAACTCTGTGCAAGATATATTCTTATTATTGTTCTCATTTTACAAATGAGAAAACGAAGGCTTAAGACAATAAAATAAGGTTCATGAGCAAATTGTAATGCAAGACCAAAATAGTGTGACTCGGGAATGAGAGCTCTTAAAAGTCATTCTATATGCTATGGATATGTATTTTCAAATAAAAAAAAAGCCCTAATTATACATTTTTTTAAAGAGAAGGAGCAGACCTTGACACCCTCTGCTTAATAATTGAAGTTCTAATGTGCACTTGAATGTATAAAAGCTTCATGCTTGTATACTTACCCCTATTATGAACAAAGAAATGGAAACTTCAAAGATTATTAACTGGATGGATTATTAACATCAAAATTGTTTAATTTCTCATAATTTTAGACTCGTTTGTTGAATATACAAATATCCTTAGAAATTATAAAGTTAAGGAACACACACTAGAGCTTTGCCTTTTCTAAGGGACTGAGATATGAATTCTTTTGTGTTACCTTAAAAATTTAACTTTTTGGTTCAAAGGCTAATTTTTAATTACAGGAGAAAATCAGAACAGCTGCCTCAGGATCTTAAATGCCAATGAGGGCTTGGGATTGCCGACCTGGAGTCAGTGTATCTACATGCTTTCAGTTGGAATCATTTCAGGATCTGTGAGAAGTTACTTTCTTTTGATGATGGCTGCCTTTCTCTACCCCTTAAAGAACAATCCCAGGCCTTGTTCTGTTCAAGAACACCTTGGCCTCACTGTATGGGTTCACTGTGGCAGTCCCTCAATGAGTCAGAATCTACTTGCTGGCTCCAGGAAGGCCATTAGGGTTGCTAGGGTGTATACTAGTTCCTCCACAGTTCAGAGGTGACAGGTGGCTCTTGGTGATGGGGAGAAGCAGACATACTGGTCATCAAAGAGCCCAGCTAGGAGTAAAATGCTGGCTTGGGAATTTAACTACTCTAAGGCAGATTTATAGTTATGACGGGGAAAATCAGAACAGCTTTTTCAGGACATTAAGTTATAATAAAGGCTCAGGATTGACAGCTTGAAATGAAAGTGTCTTGGTCTATTCAGGCTGCTGTAACAAATATCATATTCTGAGTGGCTTATAAGCAACAGAAATTTATTTCTCACAGTTCTGGAGACTGGGAGGTCTGAGATAATGGTGCCATCAAATTTGATGTCTGCTGAGGCCTGCTTTCTCACTGATGGATGTCTTCTCACTGTGTGCTCACAGGGTAGAAGGGACTACCTAGCTCTCTGGAGACTTCTTTATAAGGGCACTAATCTGGATCATTAGGGCTTTACCTTCCCAAAAACCCCACCTCCTAGTACCATAAATCAGGCATTAAGTTGCAACATATGAATTTTTCGGGAATACATATCTTTAGTCCATAGCAGAAAGTGGCAATGAAGTACTAATATTTCACTAGAGTGAAGAGGCAAACCTCATTGGAGTCTTCAGTACTCACAAAGAGTGGATGGCATCAGGAAAAGAAGATGTGTTGAAAAAAACAGGAAGCAACTCAGGACAATGACTCCTGGGTGGGCTTCCAGCTCGGCTGACTTTGGTAGGCATTTGGGCCTTCTGCGTGTCAGAGCTTTGCCTATATATGAAGACTAGATCATCTCCAAGGTCTTGTTTGGAATGAAGACATGATAGTTTCACCAAAACTCGGTAACTTAATCATCTCATGTATGAATAAGTTATATTGCTTGTCATGTGTATGACTCATGGAGGTACTGTAATTATAAGGGAAGTTCCATTGGTCAGAAGGATGAATTTGAAGGAGGAAAGCTCATCACGAGGGGAAGATAAAGAGGACAAGTTGTGAGTCACCCCTCAGAATACTGCCTTTCCTCCGGAAGTACATTGTCTGGTTAGAAGATCCCTCAAAGTGAATTTAGATTTTAGTTCAAACTTGACAGACAGTTTTAATCCCTGCATTCCTGTCTCTTCCATGTGAGGATAGTGCATCTTATAGTTTAAGTGATGACATTTATAATGAAATATTTTATGATTCACATGTGACTTTGTGCTCTGATCCATACAAAGAATATATATACTTTTCCAAAAACACATGCATGAAGTCTTGACAAGTATTTTTTTATTGGAAAGAATTAAAAAATCCACGAATTGGTATCCTTAGAAATATGTAAATAGCTCTGAATATGGGGAGATACAGTGGCAAGTGTGGGTGGCCAGGGAGATTTGAGTTTGGCATGACTTACATACAACACTTTCCATGGCATAGGTAAGAGTGGAAGGGGGGAAGAAGCCTGAGAGCAAGAAAAGATGTTGTTTTTTCTAGAATGATTACAGAGGAACAATTTTAATGCCCATTGATGGGACAACTTAGTAGATGCTTTTTCTTCTAACCCACACTTTTAAGGGGGTACTAGAGCCTAGTCGTCTCTCTCCTTTATTGCTAGGGTCTTTTCCCAGGCTTCAATCCTTGGGATGGCTTGCCCCAAAGAAACAGCTACCTGTGGCCCACGAGTCTACATGGGGAAAAGCAAGGGGAGATTTTGTGAAGGCATGAAGAGAACTTGTCTCCAATATTTTGTTATGAAAATTTCAAACATATAGAAAGCTTGAAAGAATTTTAAATTAACCCCCATAGACCTATCACCCAGTTCTTACCATGAATATTTTACTGTATTTGATTTATTTCATATCCATGCATCATCATGCATATCATAGTAAGAATTCATTACTTGTTTATATTTTCCTTCTATGGGTATAAAATGTACAACAACAAAATGCCAACATCTTAGACATATATTCACTGAGTTGATTACATATGCCTGTGTTATCCACTCTGTATCAAAATATAGAATGGTTACTATTACCCTAGAAATTTCCTTTAGGTTCCTTTTCAGTCAATCCATGCCATCCTCCACCAGAAGAATTACCGCTCTTTTTTTTCTCCCATATGTTACTGGTGTTTGCACTACAACTTCATATAAGTGGAGTCATAAAATATTATATTTGTGTGTGTGTGTGTATGTGTGTATGTGTAAGGATGCTTGCTTTGCATAATGTTTTTGAAATGCATTCATGTTGCTGTGCGTGTCAGTAGTTTGATTCTTTTTTATTGCTGAGTCGTATTTTATTGTAAATATATGTTTCATTCTCTTTGATAAATACCTAGGAGTGGGATTGCATAGATCACAGGTTAGGAGTATATTAAGTTTTATAAGAAATTGCCATATCTTATTTTATATTTCTACCAGTGACACAAGTGTCCCAGTAGCCGCACAGCCTCACCAATATTGGCTGTTATCAGTGTTTTTAATTTTAACCATTCTGGTGGGTATGTGGTGACTATGATCTGAATGTTTGGATCCCCACTGAAATGGGAATGTTGAAATCCAACCACCAAGGTGATGTTATTAGAAGGTGATTAGGTCATAAAGGTGGGACCTTTATGGTGAGGATACCCTCACCTGACCATGCTGGCGCCCTGCTCTTGTACTTCCAACCTCCAGAATTGTGAGAAATAAATGTCTATTGCTTGTAAGTCACCTGGCCTGTGGCATTTTGTTATAGCAGCCCACGTGGAGTATGGTTTTGATTTTTGTGAAGATGAAGTTTTTAATTGCTTAAAATTTGAGTGGCTGAAAAGAAAAGGGAGAAAATCTTGTTCCTAAGAATACTAAAAGAAGTAGAGTTATAGGAATGGGGAGCACAATGGCCAGACTGAAAAGCCATTTTGAATCAGTAATTTGGTAATATATTTAAATTTTACTGAGTCCAGGTTAAGAAGAAGAAGGCACAAATACTTACCTGGCAAGGGAGATACCATGATCACGAAGGTGGCTTTCCCAGGGCGAGGCTTATCCATTGCACTCCGGATATGCTGACCCCTGCGATTTCCCCAAACATGGGGAACTCGACTGCATAATTTTTGGTAGTGGAGGACTGTATTCGTGCTTTCCCCTGAAAAAAAAAAAAAAAAGAAGAAGAAGAAGAAGGCGAGAAACACTTTCAAATATCAGAATCAATTAATAATGAAGGAAATCCATAAGGATGAAATTTTAGAGAAGACTAAATGAGAATCATACAGTCTATGCACATGCTGTAGAATTATATATGTAGTTCTGAATAAAAAGAATAAGAATCTCAGGACAATATAAGTAAGTTATTATAATGTTACTCATTTGTAGTTGTGTATTTTTTTATTTCAATGCTATTCCTACTCAGTAAACCTATTGAGTTTATTTTGTAGTTATAATTTTAACATCTAGATGTAAGATAAATATTCGTGAAGAAATGTACAGCCATATGAATGAGTCATCAGGTATAGAAAATACACTTAGATTTGTTATAATTTCTGTGCCCCAAACATGTTATGTCTTCTGTGTAGTAACATTTAAAGAACTTGAGGAGCTGAAGGGGATTTCAATTTTGTGTGTTTTGTTTGGTTTCCTGGACTTCAGTAAGTTAAAATAATCTGCGTTATCACTCTCACCATTGCAAGCTAATGTTTTTTAAAGTAAAATATTATATTGAAGGAGCATTATGTGAACTTCTTTTGCATCCATGTATAACATCTACTTGTAACACTTACCTTATAATATCCTGCAAGATTCATCACTGCCCAAATTCTAATCTCATAGTTTTGCCATTTGTGATCAAGAAAGTACATTAACTACTTAAAAAAAATATTTTGTGTTTCTGTTTTAGGTTCCATATTAGAGATCACCAAGCAAGATTTTTTTCAAGAAGCAAAAGCTCTCATTGCCCAACATAATGAGAGAGTAAATGAGGTTAATGCTTTTCATTTATCTAACTTATTTTTCAGGAAACTAATAACTATTTTTATATTCTATACTGATTGTTCCAAATGGTTGCATGAACCCTAATAGATTCTGAATAGAAGAGAAAATGAAATCTTTACTAGCTATAAAAACTTATTTTAGATTGTATTTAAAAATAAGATTTTATAACTATACAGATTATTTAATTACGTATATATTTGATTTGCACATTTAATCCAAAGTTTAATGTTTTATTTTAATGAATTATAACAAATATTTAAATTAACTGTCTCAAATAAATATCCCTCATTAAAAACTATTAGATAAAGCTAAACTGGAAAATATACTGTGAGATGTGTCTTTCCCATGCCTCCAGAATGACATTCTCCCCTGAATCTTATTTCATATGACTTTCCATTAGAGCTCTTTACCAGTGTGATCATTCCTTGAGGGAAGTAACTCTTTTCTGACTGTTGCATCTCCAGCAACAAGCTTAGTGACTCACTCAATAAATATTTGCTGAACGGCATAGATTTGGAAGATGAGGAGTGTAAGGGAATGGGTCAGCAATGAGACAGGAGTCAGCACAGGAAGAAATTTTAGAGGAAAACATCTGCAGAGGAGATGAGAAATTGTGCAGGAGCAGCAGCTATTGTGAGAAATGGGTCTTTGGGGAGACGGGTGATGGAAGTGGATCTTAGGATGGTTTACTGTGTGACACATTATACTATTGCTTTTTGAATACTTAAAAAAATTAAAAAAATTTTTTTTAATGTTTTATTTATTTCTGAGAGAGAGAGACAGTGTGAGAAGGGGAGGGTCAGAGAGAGAGAGGGAGATACAGAATCTGAAACAGGCTCCAAGCTCTGAGCTAGCTGTCAGCACAGAGCCTGATGTGGTGCTCAAATCCACGAACCATGAAATCATGACCTGAGCCGAAGCTGGATGCTTAACCGACTGAGCCACCCCGGCGCCCCTGAATATTTTTAAAAAATTTTATGTTTATTAAATTTTTGAGAGAGAAAGAAGGAGAGTGTGAGCGGAGGAAGGGCAGAGAGAAAAGGAGACAAAGAATCCGAAGCAGGTTCCAGGCTCTGAGATGTCAGCTCAGAGCCCGATGCTGGGCTTGAACCCATGAATCATGAGATCATGACCAGAGCCAAGTCGATGCTTAACTGACTGAGCCACCCAGGTGCCCCTTGAATACTTTTTTTTTTTTTAAATAGTTTATTGTCAAATTAGTTTCCACATAACACTCAGTGCTCATCCCCACACCCTTGAATACTTTTTTTAAAAACTGAATTTTAGGTAAGGACTTTAAATATTTTTAAATGCTTATAGGGGAGGGGGATATAATTTTGCATGTTTCTTTTGAATGATCATCTATGCTGAAACTGCTCATAAGTGGGTTTAGATTTGTAATCAACATTGTTCACATTGCTTAACTAATTTTTTTCTCTGACCAATTCCAAATGATTTTAAGTTATATTGACTTCACCAGTAGAAACATAGGTTGATTACTAGTTTAAAGAGTTAGATAGATGTATTTTAGAACCTTGACCTTTGTAGAGAATTTTATCCAATCATAATAGCATACTCTTCCATCTTTGATTGCTTGGCAATACATAGTACTAGTCTATTAAAATCTTTTTACTGGCATTTTGAGTTGGCAACAATTTGAATTTGACTAAATCTTTTTTTTCTGGAGGGGCGTGAGGAGGGCAGGGGACTATAGCTTGCTCTATGGGCCAAGAGAATGACCAGAACAACTACAATTGTTTGTATAATTACTTGTTGGAGAACTGGGACTGTATTATTTTTCTATTGCTCAAGGTAGTCATATTATACTATTAATATTAAAATTTATTAAATTTATCTTTGTTTTACTCACAGAATAAAGTTCAAAGTACTTCTATAAATGTTTTTAGAAATAAACATCAAAAACCAAAATCTGTAAAATTTATACCTTTGGAGATTAAAAAAGAAGAAACACTTGAAGGAGTCCAGGAACTTTGGACGGCACACAAAAAGATTTATTTTCCCAAACACCCGTTCAAAAGGGAACATTTTGAGGAGACCCCGCAACAAACTTCTTTTAAGGAGCCATGCATGTTTAGTGTAAAGGAAAAATTCAAAGACCCAATGGATCTAATTGTGAAAGGTAAGATTTTGGTGGAGCAGAGAATTTCAGTAAACCAATAGGCAAAACTGTTTGCTTCTGGTGTGCTTTTAATGGAATTTCCTTGGTGAAACAAAAGCCCATACTTTAAATCTTAGCAATGGGAGGTAGGGAGGCATGATTAAAAATATTTTTTTAATGTTTTTTATTTATTTCTGAGAGAGAGAGAGACAGCATGAGCAGGGGAGGGTCAGAGAGAGAGGGAGATACAGACTCTGAAACAGTCTCCAGGCTCTGAGCTGGCTGTCAGCACAGAGCCTGTCACGGGGCTCGAACCCATGAACCATGAGATCATGACCTGAGCAAAAGTTGGATGCTTAACCGACTGAGCCACCCAGGCGCCCTGGGAGGCATGATTAAATGGGTTACTAAGCTCTGGGGACCACCAGAAATTGCGAGGAGAGTACTTTAATGGGAAAGAGGGATTTATTTGGACAAAATTGGTTACTCATGTCTTCCAACAGAATAATATTTCTTCTGATACAAGTTCTAAGAACATGTAGTTCATTGTTACTAAAGTAGTGAGAGGTTTATGGCTTTGAATTCTATTGTTGGGCAGGGTAGATAGGATAGGCAAGCTGTGAATGTGTTCCCTCCAAACCCCAAATGTATTTTTAGGAACTGTAGAATTTTCCTTAAGAAAAATTATAGTAAAGGCTTATTTTCTATCAGGAACTTGGTAAGATGGAACCTGGAAGTCTGTTTAAGCAAAGTGATATTTTCTTGAGACTAATGTCTAGAAAAAATGACTTTTTTATTAAAAACTTTTAATGTTTTTTTTTTTTTTTTTGAGAGGAGCACGAGTGAGCGAGCATCAATGGGGGACGGGCAGAGAGAAAGGGAGACAGAATCAGAATCTGAAGCAGGCTCCAGACTGTGCTGTCAGCACAGAGCCCAATGTGGAGCCAAATTCATAAACAGTAAGATCATGAAACCAACTGAGCCACCCAGGCACCTCTAGAAAAAATGACTTGTTAAAATATATTTCTGTTTAAGCCTTTGTAACTTCTTATACATTTTTCCTCTTTTGTTATTGCTTCTTATCTTATTCATTCAGTGTGATTTTTTTTTTTCCTATGTTAGGAGCTGGAGAAATAAAGATTAAAAGGCTCATAGGATAATGGTGGGGATGAGTGTCTTGGTAACTTATTATTATCCAATGTGACAATTGCTATACTAGTGTTGAGTGCAAAGCGTTACGGAAACATTACAGAGTAACCAGCCAAGTGCCAGAATGAAGGTTTCTCAGAAGAGATCTCATTAGAAATGGGTTTTAAGGGGGCGCCTGGGTGGCGTAGTCGGTTAAGTGTCTGACTTTCGCTTAGGTCATGATCTCGCGGTTCATGGGTTGACTGCCAGCACAGAGCCTGGAGCCTGTTTCAGAGTCTGTATTTCCCTCTCTCTCGGACCTTCCCCTGCTCACGCTGTCTCTCTCTCTCTCCTAGAAATAAATAAAAATATTAAAAAAAAAAGAAATGTGTTTTAAGGAGAAATTTGTTAAATGTAGTGTGGGAACAGAAGAAGCCATTTTGAGCCATGGGAGAAAAATATTAAAGCTCTGAAGGAAGAAAGAATGTGATACATTTTGGGAAAGGAGAGATATGATAAGAAATGAGGTTAGGAGGATGGATGAGGCTAGATTTAGAAGAAAATATAGTAGCAGGCCTAGGATTTGAACCTGTGTATAATGGAAAGCCACTGGTTATTTCAAGCTGAGGGTGGGGAAACAGTGAAATATGACCATATTTTTTCTGATAGAAAAATAAAACTGTCAGTAGAGGCTGTGGAGAGAATGGTGACAGAGAGATAAGTGAGGAGGTTGCCTGGGAAAGAGATGGTCCATGTAAGAGACGGCAGGGGTCTAAATTAGGGCAATAATGACCATCAAGTAAGTGTGGAGAGGGGATTTACAACAGCACTTCCCAAAATGTAGTTTTCAGACACTAGTTCTGAGGCATTTACCTCAGCAAAAGGGATCTCTGATTACATACATTTTTTTTAATTAAAAAAAATTTTTTTACATTTATTTGTTTTTGAGACCAGATAGAGACAGAGCACAAGTTGCAGAAGGGCAAAGAGAGAATGAGACACTGAATCTGAAGCAGATTCCAGCCTCTGAGCCGTCAGCCCAGAACCTGACACGGAGCTCGAACTCACAAACTGTGAGATCGTGACCTGAGCCGAAGTCAGACGTTTAAGTGACTGAGCCACCCAGGCACACCATCCAGTTAGATAAGTTTAAAAAAATGCATTTACTACTTAAGATTCATGTTGATGATTAATATATTGGGAGTTCTGTGAAATGCCTTAGAAAAGAACTCTTTTTGCTATCACCAATTTCAACTTGGCTATCACCAATTCATTTGAGCAAAGAATTCCTAAAGAGAAATATTAAGGTTTCTAGACTGGAATGCTGGGTCATTAGACATCATTAAGGTGAGATTGGAATGGAGAAGGACAAGTGGAATTTAGGCAGATGGAGAAAGGGATGGGAAAGGCAATGAATTGAGTTTTAGACCTGCTTAAGTAGACATGAATATGGAGATAACCATTAAGAAGTTGGAATTCGAGATCTGGCAGTTAAGAGAGGGACACAGGTGAAGACTGAAGATTGACATTGGGGGTAATGCCATGATGTAATTGTGAGGTTCATGCATTTGTTCAACCAACAGTTACTTGTATGTGAGATGTATAGAGAGAAAAGATATGCTACTTACCCTCAAGAAGTTCAAACTTGATATATGTAATTTGTATGTGGTTGGATGAAGAAGGATAAATGGATAGTTACAATGTAGTGTGACTCATACTGTGATAAAAATAAGCTTTACTGCTTTGAAATCAATAGGAAGGTGATACGTACTTCAGATTTAGTAATCAGGGATGGATTCCCAGGAGATTTAAAGTCTTTGGTAAATTTTGAAGGGCGATTAAACATTTACTCAAGAAAGAAGAAAAGTTCCATAGAACTCTGACTACAGTCAGATGGTCTAACCTCTACCTGATAATGGATATCTGAGAAAGTGACTGTAGTATATTTGCAGGAGCTGAAATGATTTTATATGACTAAAATGAAGATTGAGGAGAACTTTGAATTTTAACCTAAAAATAATGGGACCATTCAGATGTTTATTTTGTTTTTAAGTTTATTTATTTTAAAAGAGACAGAGATCGCATGAGTGGGGGAGATGGAAAGAGGGAGAGAGAGAGAATCTCAGGCAGGCTCCATGCTGCCAGCGCAGAACCCATGAAATCAAGAGACCATGACATGAGCCCAAACCAAGAATCGGATACATAATGGACTGAGACACCTAGGGTCCCACCATTCAGGTGTTTTAGTGAAAAGTTCTCGTGACCACATTTGCATTGTTCAGGCATTTCTGAAAGTAGAGACGAGGTGTGATGAACTTTGGATGCACAGGTCTGTCACTGAGGGGACTAATTCATATGAGAAAAGATGACTTGAATTAAGGTAGTGGCACTGGGGCCAGAACTGAGAGGAGAGATTTTAGAGATATTTGAGAAGTAGAGTTTCTAGATTTGGTCAGCAGTGGGTGGAAACATAAGACACAGGGGAAGAGCTATAGGATTCACTGCTACAGTAGTTTATACTAAGTGGCAGCATGGGAACAGATGCAAGAAATTAAAGGGTTGGAGGCGCGTCTTACATAAGGATGAAACTGCCACCAGCAATAAGTTGGAATCTAAACCATGTACCTTCGGAGCTTTGTTGTTCTAGGTGATGAAATTGGAAAACAGCGTTATTGACTATGTTGGTGGTTTTGGCTGTTTGTGGGAAGTTATTATATAAAAGAGATGAACTTAACAAAAGTATTGGCTGGTTTGCAAGCAGAAATGAAAGGGCATAGAGTGGTACTAGGTATCTGAGTCCTTGGTTTTGAGCAACTGTCTAAGACTTACCCTTGCAGCAAAAATCAGATTAAGGGTGTGTCCTTCCTAACCCAGCCCATTTTCTCAGATCACCTCCAGGCACTTCCCACTAAATTGAGAGACTAAAGCAAGGGGTAAAGAAATGAAGATACAAAAGAGATTTTTTAAAGCTATGCTTAAAAAAATAATTTAGAATGTGGTTATTGGCATGAAGAATTAATTAGAAGAGAACGGATTAAAAAATCTAACAAATATTTTAGAGAATGGTATTGCCAAAGAAACCATGAACTTTGATTTAATAAAATGTTCAAAAGTAAAATAACCTGGCTTTATTTGGAAGTGACCCACAAAAGCTGGATAGCCCCCAAGGAGGTTAATAGCAAGAAGTAGCTAACAAGCAAAGAAAAATCTTCCCTGAGTAGATCCAGAGACCATTAGGAAAAAAGTGAATAAAGGAGTGTATTTCTAGGACAGAATCATTGTATACTCAAAGAACTTCCCCACTTCCAGGTTAGGGGGCCTCTCAGTGCCTCCCCAGCAGGATTCTCTAACTTCTTTTGTCTGGTAATTGCTGTGTGTCTTTTCTTTTTCCCTTTCATGAATGGAGTTTTTACTGAAGTTATCTTATACCTGTCCTACTGCTGGATGTTTTGTGCTTCTGGAAGAAGGTGGAAATAATGTTATATTTTGTATATATTATTACTGGCCAGAAGAAGCCACACCTGGACCTGATGGAGAAGACTGCAAATAGAGATTCTGGACTCTGAGCTGGATGTAATACCTTGATTGAACTTTAGGTTACCTCCTTTGGGGAGAGGAAAAGTGTATTTTGTCAGGGAATAAGAATGGTTGGATATTTGATATTCAAAAGGGCTGACTGTGGCAGAGACTGACTAGATATTTATCAAACTTCTTACTGTAACCTTTCTTCCTGGGCACTTGGCTAACATACCCTTACAGTTAGGTGGAACTATGTGACTAAGATTTGGCTCAGTGGATTATAGGTAGAAGTGATGCTTATCCAAAAAATGCCTTTTGTTCTTTCCCCAACATGGTCTCCCACATTTTGAGTACTCTTAAAACAATTGCAATTT